CCAAAAACAAAAAATCCCCAGCAAATCAAACCAGCAACAACAACAAAATAACAACCACAACAAAAACAACAACAACAACACCAACAACAACAACAACAACAACAGCAACAACAACAACAACAAACATCGACTCACCGTGATGGTTGTCTCCTGACCAGTACCGATCTGGAAACTGTTGGTCTTGCCGCACTGGTAGGTTGTGTGGATGTTGTTGTTGTTGGTGGTGGGCGCCGGGAACTTGACGCTGGCTGCAACAGGAGAGAGAAGAATGGGGTTGGAGGGGGGAGAAGAAGACAGCATGAACGATGTCAGCAGCTCCTCTTCCCACAACTAACTCACGCGTGGGTTGAAGGTGTTGAGGTAAGGGGGGGGGGAGAACTGTTGATATGTGAAGGGGTAGAGGGGGGGGAGGTTACTATTGATGTGAATGGGGTTGGAGGGGGGAGGAGTAGACAGCATGAACGATGTCAGCAGCTCCTCTTCCCACAACTAACTCACGCGTGGGTGGAGGGAGGAAGGGAGGAGGGGGGGGAGGGAGGAGGGAAGGGAGGGGAGAATGTTGTTGGGATGGGGAAACAAGAAGGGAGCGGGATGGGAGGGAGTGATGACGGAGGAAGGGAAACAAAGACAGATCAGGGTGAGGGGGGTGGGGGTGCGTGAGACGGGAGAAGTAGGGAGGGAGGGAGGGAAAGAAAGGACCGTGGAGGAGGAGGGAGAGGGGGTGGAGAGAGAGAGAGAGAGAGAGAGAGAGAGAGAGAGAGAGAGAGAGAGAGAGAGAGAGAGAGAGAGAGAGAGGTAGATGAGAGGGGAAAGGCGGTGGAGGAGGAGAGAAGGACGGTGGATGGGGATGGGGGAGAGGTGGGAGAGGTGGGAGAGAGAGAATGAGGGAGATGTGAGTGGAATGACGGTGGAGGAGAAGGGAAGGATGGAGGATGGACGGTGGACGGGGGTGGAGGGAGGGAGGGAGAGGAGAGGGGAAGGACGGTGGACCGGGAAGGGGACGGGGACGGAGGGTGGGAAAGAGGGAGGGGAGGGGGGAAGCTGGAGTCAGGGGTGTGGTTCGAAAAATGTCAGGAGCAGTAATAACAGTTCTCAGAACTCACGGGGGTGTATGTATCTATCTATCTACGCCTCAGATTAATGTTGTCGTACAGTTTGGTGATGTGCGATACTTTGTGGTGATTTCTGCGTGGGTGTTGAGAGGCGAGGGAGGGGGGCGAGCACACTTGAGTGAATGAAGACAGAAAGAAAGGAGGAAAGAAAGAGAGAAGAACGGAAGGAAAGAAAGAATGAAGGAAGGAAGGAAGGAAAGAAGGAAGGAAGGAAGGGAGGAAAGAAAGAAAGAATGAAAGAAAGAAGGCAGGAAGGAAAAAAGGGAATGAAAAAAAGATGAAGAAAGGGGAATTCATGATTTGTGTCCTGTCAGTGATAGAATACAGAAAGAAAGAAAGAAAGAAAAACAGACAGACAGACAGAAAGAGAAAAAGAAAAAAGAAAGAAAGAAAACAGACGAATTCATGATTTGTGTCCTGTTAGTGCTGGAACACAGAGAAAAAGAAAACCAGAAAGAAAGACAGAAAAAAGGAAGAAAGAAAGAAAGGAAGACAAAGACAAAAAGAAAGAAAGAAAGAAAGAAAAATAAGGCAAAGAGAGGCGTATTCATAATTTCTGTCCCGGCAACGATTGAATATAAAAAGAAAAAAAATAGAGAAAGACAGGTGTATTCGTGATTTTAAGCCTGGTTGTGAAGGAGGAAAGAAAGAAAGAAAGAAAGAAAGGAAAGAAAGAAAGAAAGAAAGAAAGAGAGAAAGAAGAAAGAGAAAGACAGGTGTATTCGTGATTTTAAGCCTGGTTGTGAAGGAGGAAAGAAAGAAAGAAAGAAAGAAAGAAAGAAAGAAAGAAAGAAAGAAAGAGAGAAAGAAGAAAGAGAAAGACAGGTGTATTCGTGATTTTAAGCCTGGTTGTGAAGGAG